CCCCCCCCCCCCCCCCTCACACACACACACCGATCATGTCATGTATCGAGACCACCCTCGAGATTTATCCCGTCTGTGAGGTCAAGTAGGGGCCCCTGTGTCGTCCACTGGCTCTGCCCCGTGTGCGTGTTGAACACATACGCCTGCCCATACCGCTTGTCGAACGCCACCACCCACTCAGACAGAGACGAGGGGGCAGAGGCACCCCCTCCATCATCATGCTGGTGTGGTGTGGCTGCTGGCGTGTCTGTGCCAGTGCTCGCGGGCTCAGCGGCAGAGTCGGAGCTGTCTGCCGTATTGTGTGAAACTGTGGTGGATGTGCTGGGGCATGAGTGAGGGCGATACAGCTGGGCCTGGAAGTCACGAAGGGCCGTGTAGACCAGGTAACACTGCACAAAGCAAGACAAAGACGCACATACAAAGGAGGGTTCCTTTTGTCAAGTCATTTCTGTCTACTCCGAATGTATATGTACAGACCTGCTGATAGAATGGCGACTGGAAGTACCGCTCAGGCAGCATCTCTTCGATGAATGGTACCTTGTCGCCCTCCTGCAGCTTGTATGCCGTAACAAACACCACCGCCTCCCTCCACAGACACTCGGCCGTCCAGTGGTGCTGCGTCGCCGCCTCAAGCACGTCCTGCAGCCTCCCCCCATACTCCCACCGGCCATCACCGCTCACAGGGGCACGCACACGGCACTGCCGCATTGAGGATGGTGGACCTGCTGAGGCCCCCTCACCCTCACTGCCAACTTTTGAACCTTCCACGATGCTCGTTGCAGAGGCTGGCCGCAGCTGCTGTGTTAGGTGGTGCGATTGGCCAGAGGGAGTTGCGCGAGGCTTCTGCAACGACCGCCGGCCGGCCCCACTGCTATCGCAGTGAGGATACTCACAGAGGAGGCCTTCATCGAGCTGGATGCAGGTGCGTTCGTAGGGCAAGGGGTGTTGTTGCTCTCTGACTGGGATGGTCGAGGGCCGCTGTATGTCCCCTGTGCCGCTGAAGACCCATCCAACAGGCTGCATACCACGCGAAATGGGCGCGAAATCATGTAAATTTGAAACCGCTTCATGTCAATGAAGTAGAGACGAATGAATAAGGAACCCATATATGCCATGGATGCGTCTGTTTGAAATGCACAACGCATCCATTCATCCATCAGAGTCGTCCTAAGATAGCACAAGCAAGCCTCAGCCAGCCACACAACCTAGCTGTCTGGCTTCGCCAGTTGACCGACACATACACTGACCTAAGCCCGCTACGCTACGCCTTGGCAGCTTTTTGTGCTTCGATGGCCTTTTCCATGTTTCGCTGGATAGCGCCCGGCTCCATGAGCCACGAGTAGTCCTTGGGCACAGCCGTGTAGCCCGCCTCACGGTCGGCCTTGGTGAGATGCCGCTCCTTCCTCGCATAGAAGTCCTCCCAGAACTTCTTGTTCTCCTTTATCCTAAAGTGCACAAACAACACGATACATACATACAGAATGACCGAATATACGAATGTCTCCCTCCCTCCCTCCCTCCCTCCCTCCCTCCCACTCTGCCTGTCCTGTCCGCCGGTGGGTCGGTGTGTCGGTGGGTCTGTGGTGTGCCTGCCTCATGTCTCACTCACTTGTCGAGGTTGCTCTCAAGTTCCTGCAGCGGGAACCTCTTGAGGATGTGGAAGTTCTTGCCTGGGAACATCTTGATGGGGATGGAGTCGATGAGCTCGGGCGAGAGGATCTCATCGATGACGGCCTTCTTCTTGGGAAAGTCCCACTCGTACTCCATGTACTTGGACGTCCACCTATCACGGAACTGCTTGTGGATCTGCTTCTGCCGGAGGGGCTTGCGCGTGTCCTCGAAACGCACATCAACCGCTGCACAGACAGATTACGGCGGACCCAAGGGACACGAATCAATACACATACATGTGTGTGTGAAGGTTTGTGCGCATTCCTCACCGACTGCGTCGGGCAGCTCAACGTCCAGAAAGTCGGCGATCACCTTGGCTGCACACAGCGACCACAAATGCACGCAAAGTCATTACCGCGGGCGCAGTGCATGCCGGTTGCATTGGTGGCTTACGTCCTTCCCCCTCAGGGTAGATGTCGATGAACCTCTTGTGGAAGTTGATCTCAAAGTGCTCTCGTGCATCCTTGTTGACGAAAGGCGACCTCAACACACAGAACCTGCACACATCACATGACATGACACACGAGTGCAGACAGACCAAGTGGTAAGGCTGTATGTGTGTGTATATGTGATACACATGTATGTATTGTATGCCGACCGACCGTTTCCTTCTTGTCTTGCAGAAGTGTGGCCCCTTTGCTCTGAGGCCGTCGATCTTGTTGACGGCCTCCAGGATCCTCTCCGTCACCGTGTTCATGTCCACCTGCACAGCACACAACACAACCAGCACAGCACAGCCAGGCCAGGCGGTGCGGTCACAAACGGGTCATGACGATGAGCAGTGTGCGGTGCGGTGGTGATGTGTTTGTTGCTTGCGCTGGCTGTCTATATGACTGACACACCTTAGTGTATCCCCTGATGGCGATCCTGAGGTACTTGTTCTCTGGCCAGCTCATGGGGTTGACCTCCTCGTACAGCTCCTCCTCGCCCCCCTCTTCGGCAGCGGCCACTGCAGCGGCAGCAGCCTCGTCCAACTCAGACACCTCCTGCACCTCACTCTCGCTCTCAGCACTCTCATCGGCAACCGCCTCTTCCACAGCTGCCACCTCGGGCACTTCCTCCTCCGGCTGCGGCTCTTCCGCCACCTCTGCGATGACCTCCGTCACTACTGGAGGCTCCTCGGCCACCGATAGCGCCTCCTCAGGAGCCGCCGCCTCTTTCTCTTCAGCTGGTTCAGCGGCTGGTACATTGGCCTCTGCAGTTGGCTCAGCAGCTGGTGATTCTGCCTTTGCTGCTGGCTCGTCCTTCGGCTGATCAGCCTGCAGACACACACCACCAAGCACCTTGTTCATGATGCACGCTCGCTCTTTGTGCAGTGGTCCGTCCCGTCCTCACCTCTGATGACTTTGCGAAGAGCAGCACTCGACGGGGGGCAGGTGGGGAGAGGGATCTTGATGGCACTGTGATGGGTGATGCAGGCGCTGCTCTTGACCTCAGTGATGCGCCACCGAAGCCGCCAACAGGTGCTCGAAAGGCATGGGCGGAGATCACCCACAGCAAGATGAGGCACAGCGGCGGAAACGGCCGCCATCTGTCCCCCACTGCCATCGCTACATCCAGCTTCATTCGCAGACGAGAGAGATTCTTTGCTGAGTCGCGAGCTATAGCTCGCTGCTAAGCTCGCAGTGGTTCACCTGCGAGAAGCGGGCCGCGGATGCGTTTTGCTGCGGCTGTGTGTCGAGGCGATTGATTGATTGGTTCATTCATCTCATTCATCGAGAGAAAGAATGAAGTCCAACGGTCAGGCTCTGAAAGATCTGTGTAGGCATCTGGTGAGAGGTATGGCGGAAGACGCCGCCAGGTGGAGATCGTGGGCGGTTCGGGTCGAACAGGCTGCTTCCAACATCAGCATGGACGACAAGGTGAGGCAAGCCATGCGACACACACAGACAGACACACGGCGAGTGGGTGCATTCAGCCATGTTTGTGGTTCGACAGGATGCGGTGCTCTTCGGGCAGCGTCAGCTGGTCGACGCTTTGCGGGAAGGCTTGCTGGAACCGGAGCTGGCATCGGGCGTGGTTGGAGCCTTCCCGTGCCTCTCCCTCTTGATCATTATCGCGGACCTTGACAGACAGGTTGCCGCTGTGGATGCGGGCGATGACCCGAGTGCGCATCAAGGACACATGGACGACTCAGGTAGGGTACCTACCACGGTGGGCAGGGCAGGGTGATGTCCAAGTGGGGCTGGCTGGCTGGTTGTGGACAGGCCTTTCCACTGACGAGAGGTGGTGCATCCTCCTCAGCAGAGCGTCGCACGAGCCCTTTCTCCGCGATCGCGTCCAGCTGCTGCTCGACCGGACAAGGGGGAGTCTGCTGGAGGCATGCACTGCATCTGTGTGCGCCACTAAGGAGCATGGCGGCGGTGGTCAGAGGGGTGTGAATGACATTCGGATCTGCCAGGCCATCCTCAGGCTGCTTCAAAGGTGCGTGTGGGGTGCCGACGAGTGTCATGGTCTGTCTTACGTCATCATTGCTTTTGTATGTCAGCTGTCCTGGTGTTCGTGCCATCTGGGATGTCACACCGCTGTTGGCGCTGATGCACGATGGCCGATCGCCGCACACCCTCAGGTCTATCGTCGGGAGCATCGCGGCACACGTCCTCAGAATGGCGCCGAGAGCACAGTAAGAAGCAAGAATAAGAACATGCTCATTTGTTTTCGTTGGAGTGACCGGACCGCGTGTGTGTGCTTTGCTTTGCTTTGCTTTCCCATCCATCCGTCCAGGGAGGCGTTTTTGGGGAGGCTTGGCCTCAGCCGCATCTCTGACGAGTCGATGGAGGGTTTACTGCCGGTGCTGTCCTTCTTGCGAGCCGACAACGGGCCTTCTGGTAGCAGCATGACGGACATCGCTGCGCTCCTGAGTGTGGGAGGCTGGCAACAGGTGCTACCTGTGGTGACGCTGGGCGGCAAAGGGGATCACAGTTCAGCTATGGAGCGGCTCATGGTGCCCCGTTTCGCCGCACCACATGCTCAACCGAGTGATGGGCCTTGGCCAATGATTTCTCCTGCGCCCCGGCCGCTTGCCTTTGCGCCAACTGAGGCCGCGTCATGTGTGCTGAGGGAGCTGCTGCTGTTGGTGACACGCACCACGCCCGTCCTGCTGTGGGGCCGGTCTGGGTGTGGCAAGTCCTTCTTCATATCCTATGCGGCCAAAATACTAGGTGGGGGTGGGGGCTGCCGGCACGCTTGCGGCCTGGCCTGCATTCATATACATCTGTGTCTGTCTGTCTGTCTGTCTGTCCATCCGTCTGCAGGAGCCCCCACGCCGATATTTCTCCATTTGGATGACCAGGCCGACTCCAAGAGCCTCCTCGGTGCGCAGGCAGGCACCCGCACGATCGCAGTGTGTCATTCATTGTTTGTTGTGTGTCCTTTGCTTTGCTGTCTATGCAGGTGCGTACGTGAGCGGCGAGCGTGCTGGGGAGTTCGAATGGCGTCCAGGCATACTCGTCGACGCCCTCACACAGGGTAACTCACAACCACACACGCACTCAGGTTTCCTTGAGCGACATGACCAACATTTTGTGTGTCTGTGCTGGTTGGTATGCACCGTCAGGCAAGTGGCTGGTACTGGAGGAGGTCGACAAAATCTCACAGGAGGTCACATAAAAGACGACACACACGCACACATTACCCCTGCTCGCAACTGTGTGTTCCATCCTGTCTGTCTGCAGATCCTAGCCGCCCTGCTGCCCCTTGTGAACGGCCGCACCCTGTCGATACCGCAGCGCAACGAGTCCTTGACCGCCCACCCCCACTTTCGTCTCCTCGGCACACTCACGACAAGCGACACAACAGCGCGGCATAGGAGAGAGTCGGCGTCGGTGTCTGATGCCCATGTCAGCAGTGTGGAGGAGCTCCATCTGCGCATCGCGTCGCCGCCCGAGAGGCCGCCGGCTCTGACATCGGGATGGGCGTCAATCGGTGTGCCAACGCCCACGGACAAGGTGACACTGGGAGAGGAGCATACCGACACACACGTGAATGACACGCTGATACATATTTGCTGTGTGCTGACGGACGGCATCAATCAGGATGCGTGTGATATCATAGTGCTGCGTCACCCGTCCCTGGAGCCAATCGTGCCGGCCGTCATGGGTGCCTTCAAGGGCCTGCAGGCGTCGGAGGGCTGTGGGTGGGGGGGCAGTGGTGTAGGTGTAGGTGTGGCCCATCGCGTGGGCGGTCTGGGTGATTTGCTCAAGTATTGCCATCGGGTGGAGCGGCACCTGTGTCCGTTGGTGCTGCCGCTCAACGAGAGCACGCGCATGTGCTTACTCAAACACGCTGCCACGGTACGGTCCGACCCGGCACCAACAGAATATCCCATGGATTCGATTCATGGCATGGGTGCGATGCTGTGTGTTGGTTGGGGGGCAGACATTGTTGGCGCATACTCCTGACCCTTGGGTGAGGGTCAGAGCCGCCCAGGCGTTTGGGGGCAGACTCCAACTGACGGCAGATCAGGTGCGGTGCCCGAGAGAATGACCAACCCATCGTCTGTAGCCATGGGCGACAGCGTGTCATCTTGTGTCATCCTAGGTTGAGCATCTGCTAACGGCTGAGCATCCCACCATTTCGGCATTCGATGACCACGTCACGTGTGGCGACATCCAACTCAAGAAACCAACCACCACCACCACCGCAGGCCGTCCGTCTGCCCCACCTGCCCACCGGACGTTCTTCGCGTACACGTCGGTGCACAGCCGGTTGATGGAGAGCGTGGCCTCGTGCATAGCCAATGGCGAGAACGTCCTGCTGGTGGGCGATACCGGCACCGGCAAGACATCCATCATCCAACACCTCGCCGCACTCGTGGACGTGGACCTCAGAGTCTACAATTTCAGCGAGCAGAGCGAGAGCCAGGAGCTCATCGGTGGCCTGCAGCCGGTCGACCCCTCCCAGACGATGAGGGACCTCTTCGACAGGTTCAGCAGCGACCTCTTCCCACGCACATTCTCCAAGACCAAAAACGCCGGTTTATTGAGGCGCGTGGTGGCTGACGTGACGGCGTCGAGGTGGGCGGCGCTGCTCAACGCCTTCCTGGCCACTGCGAGGACGGCCCTACAGAAGCTAAACGAACAGAGAGGCCGAGGCGGCGGCGGGGATGGATCTCTGCTCACCAGCTGGGCTACATTCGAGAGCGACTGTCTACAGATCGCTGATGTGGTCAGGAGCGAGGAGCAGCACGGCAGAACCGGGGCCGGAGCGCTCCGTTTCGACTTTCGGGAGGGCATTCTGGTGGAGGCATTGCGGAAGGGTGAGTGGATCATCCTGGATGAGATCAATCTGGCGCAGGCCGACATCCTCCAGCGCATCGAAGGCCTCCTGGACGACCCCACGGCCCCCTTCATCCTGTCGGAGAAGCGCGGCGATCCCGTGGTGCCCCACCCCAACTTCAGAGTGTTCGCCTGCATGAACCCCCCAACAGTGCCGGCCACCGTGCTGCCCTCCTCCATCCAAGATGAGCCCCAGGCGACCGATCGTCAGCCGCAGCATCGTGAGGTCAGTGCAGGCAAGAGGGAGCTCCCACCTGGTTTCCGCCAGCGCTTCACCGAGATATTTGTGGACCTCGTGAGCTCGCGAGCCGACCTGCGTCTGATTGTGAAGGGATACCTGAGGAGCCTGATGCCTGAGCCGCCCGTCGACGACATCGTTGACTTCTACCTGGGCACCCGGGAGATGTGTCAGTCGTTCCAGCTTGAGGACGGCAGCGGCAAGGTGCCAAACATGTCGCTGCGGACGCTGGTCCGGGCGCTCAAGCATGCCGTCGCTGTGGCGAGAAGGGGTCACCGGCCATGTCCACCGATGGTGAGCAGGCAAGTCGCACCACACTACACACGGACGGGCACCACATTGCATGCTTGTGTATTCGTGTCGTGTGTGTCGTTCAGGATGCTTTGGCGGAAGGCTTGTTGATGGCCTTCGCGACCCCCCTGCACCGCACGTCGGCGGACAAGCTGACGGAACTCATCTGCCAGAAGCTGCGCGTACCCCTGGCAAAACTCGCCGCCCCCACCACCATGCCCAAGCAGGCCTTCACCCAGAAGAAGGGCGGCGGTGTGATAGAGTTCGCACACCCGACAGCAGAGTGCAAGATGGAGGCCGAGGACGGCAGCAGCACCAGCAGCACCATCAGCAGTAAGGGGGGCAGGGAGCAGCCTGGTGTCAAGGGGAGGCGGTGGGTGTCGGTGGAGGGCCACTGGATCCAGAGCGGTGACGAGGCGATTGATTTCGATGCCGCCCACAGGGACTTTGTCGTCACGCCATCCGTCAAAGTAAGGCACAGAAACCACCTAAACCCGTACACCACACCCGTCCGTCAAAACACGCGTCTGTCTGTGCTGTTTATGTCCCACCGCCAACCAACCCAGCACCACCTCAAGAATCTCGGCCGCATCCTGAGCGGCGGCCGCACCCCTGTCCTGCTGGAGGGCCCCACGTCGTCGGGCAAGACCAGCATGGTGTCATTCATCAGTCGGCTCACCGGCCACCCCTTCGTCCGCATCAACAACCACGAGCACACAGACCTACAAGAGTACCTCGGCCAGTACATCCCCGACCCAACCACCGGCAGGCTGGTCTTCCAGGAGGGCGTGCTCGTACAGGCTGCCAGAAAGGGGCAATGGGTGGTGCTCGACGAGCTGAATCTCGCGCCTAGCGAAGTGCTCGAAGGTGACTAAGTGGCCAGACAGACCAACGCCACACCACAAGGGAGGCGGCAAGGCAACATCATCTCTCTCTGTGTGTTGTGGTGGTGGACAGCATTGAATCGTCTGCTGGACGACAACCGTGAGCTGTACATCCCCGAGACCAACACGATCGTCAAGCCCCACCCCGAGTTCATGGTCTTCGCCACTCAGAACCCCGCCGGCGGGGCCTATGGCGGCCGCAAGATGCTCTCACGGGCCTTCCGCAATCGGTTCCTGGAGCTGTACGTCGACAGCATCCCCCGGGGCGAGCTGCAGATGATCATCGGGCGGCGCTGCTCGCTGCCGCCAGCCTTCTGCTCGGCCATGATCAAGGTCTATGAGGCGCTGCAGACACGACGGCTTAAGAGCCTGGTAAGCAGACAGACAGGGAGGCACAGTAAGTAACACGACACCAATATATATGGCTGCATGATGTGTGTGTGGCTGTCTGTGTGTTAAAACAGGTGTTTGGCGGGTCTCAGAGTTTCATGACGGTCCGTGATTTGCTTCGTTGGGGCCATCGGCAGCCGGAGAGCATGGAGCAGCTGGCAGTGGAGGGCTACTGCCTCATCGCCGAGCGGCTGAGGGTCGACGAGGAGAAACAAGAGGTCAAGTCCGTGCTGGAGAGGCACCTCCTCAAGGGCAAAGCCCTCCACATCAACTACACCACCGACCCTTACGTAGAGGCCACTAAGACTCAACTCGCCCAGAAGCTCTCTGGAGGGGCGTCTGCCCTTCCGCCCGGCTTCCCTGACAAAGGGCTGACATGGACAGAGGGGCTCTGTCGGCTAGTGGCTCTCGCGAGTCGCTGCCTTCGGTTCCAGGAGCCTGTGTTGATGGTGGGTGAGACGGGCAGCGGCAAGACGACTGTGTGCCAGGCCATCAGCTGGACGGCGGGGCGGGAGCTGCACATTCTCAACTGTCACCAGCACACCGAGGCGGCCGACATACTGGGCACCCTGCGGCCGCTGCGGAACCGACAGCCGCTGACGCAGGAGGTACGCCGATCCGCCGCAGCACTCAAAACTCTTCTGGACGACCTTGTGGACGGTGGGGGTGCGGCTGACGACAGCACTGCAGCAGCCGGCACCGCCCGCCTCATCACTGCAGCCCTCGCACACAGCCCCTCCCTACGGGACAATATCGACGCTTCGGCGAGAGACGAACCTGCCACCTTGCCCTCGGCACATCTGGTGGGGCAGCTGCGGCTTTTCAGAGAAAGACTCCGCACCGACGTGAGAACACCACCACCAGCAGCGTGCCGTAGCACACAGGAGGCCACAGCATCGCCAGCCGCCAAACGTCTGTGCACAGAGCGGCGAGACAGCCCCAGACAGGCTGAAGACGGTACACCACAAGACGTCACTGCTGACGCATCACGTCGCGTCGATGAGGCGGCTGTGGGTCTGGAGAAGGCTCTACTGGCGGCGGAGGCGATCTTTGAGTGGGTGGATGGTCCGCTCACCCACAGCCTGAGGGCGGGCGACCACTTCCTTCTCGATGAGATCTCGCTCGCCGAGGACTCGGTGCTGGAGCGGCTCAACTCCGTCCTCGAGCCCGACTGGCGGCTGCTGCTCGCGGAGAAGGGCGGCGCACACATCGACGTGATATCAGCCGACCCATCCTTTCGGCTGTGGGCCACCATGAACCCTGGCGGTGACTATGGGAAGAGAGAGCTCTCGCCAGCTTTGAGGAACCGCTTCACGGAGGTGTGGGTGCCGGCCTTCAGCTTCGCGTCGGAGGATGCGGTCCAGATGGTGCGGGAGCGGCTGCCTGCCGGTGCGCAGTTCCTGACACACTCCACCCTCGAGACGGTGCGGTGGTTCAACGCTCGGGCGCTGCACCCGCTGACGCCAAGGGACGCTCTCAGCTGGGTACACTTTGTCAGCGAGATGCACCACCAGATGGGGGGCTCGCCAAGGGCAGCTGTCATGGCCTTCATGCACGGTATGGAAGGAAGGGGAGGAGAGCTGAGCTGGGCTAGGTGCGGTGCGCTCGTGGCTGCACAGCTAGCTCTTGTCTAACCCCACTTGTGTGTGTTTTTGTGTGTATGGCTGGGGCTGTGGGGGGCCCTGCAGGCGCGTGTATGATTCTGATGGATGGGCTTGGCCTCGGGAACGCACTCACAGACAAATCCATGGTAGGTATGGTGAGCGAGGGAGAAAGAGAGAGACTCAGCTCAACTCAGCCCACGGCACGCCATACGTCCTGCCTGCTGTTCACCCGACAGGCCAGCCGTGTGTCTGCCGCCAGTAGCCATCTGTCGCGTAACAGCCAACACGCCCACGTGCTGTCCTTCATCCTCACCGACATGGAGCACTCCATCAGGGCGGCATCAGGCCTCTCAGCTGGCGAGTGGGCGGCGGTCAAGACCGCCTTCGGACAGGGGGGCTTCAGCTGGGTGCATCAGGCGCTCTCGTCGACCTCCCTGACCCCACAGGCACACACACTCCGCATGGGCGACTTTCAGATCGCCTGTGGGAGCTTTGTGTCGGAGCAGCCTCCGCAGCGATTCGCCTTCGCTGCACCCACGACGGCCCAGAACTTGGGTCGGCTGCTTCGTGCCCTGCAGCTGAAGCGTGCAGTGCTGGTGGAGGGTCCTGCCGGCGTGGGCAAGACGACGATCATCCAGGCGCTGGCGGAGAGGACGGGCAACCGACTGGTGCGCATCAATCTGTCGGAGCAGACGGACATCATGGACCTGCTGGGCGCCGACCTGCCCGCACCAGCCGATGCTGCCAGTGAAGGACAGGGCATCGGGGCCACGTCAGCCCCTCGCTTCAGGTGAGGCTCGTTGCCAGCCATGGGGTGGATGGGTGTGTTTGTACGGTACCTGGTTGGTTCTTCGCACACCACACCCATACCTGTCTGTGTTGTGTGTCCGGTACTGTACGTATGTGTGTGCGCCTGCCCTGCCAGGTGGGTGGACGGCGTGTTGCTCAAGGCGGTCAAGGAGGGTACTTGGGTGGTGTTGGATGAGCTCAACTTGGCGCCTCAGCCGGTGCTCGAGGGACTCAACGCTCTCCTCGACCACAGGAAGGAGATCTTCATACCCGAGCTCGACGCCACAGTGAGGTGCGCCCCGTCCTTCAGGCTGTTCGCCACCCAGAACCCCGTGGGCCAGGGCGGGGGACGCAAGGGGCTGCCGCGGTCGTTCCTCAATCGGTTCACGAGGGTGGTGGTGGAGCAACTCCACCAGGAGGACATGCTCTTCATCTGCCGGCATCTGTACACAAAGGAGGAGGGGCTGAGTGACAGGCTGGTGGTCCAGGCCGTCGGCTTCATTCATGCCGTCCAGGGTGTGTGTCGTCGTGAGTCGTTTGAGGGCGGGCACGAGTGGGAGTGGAACCTCAGGGAGGCCATACGACTGTGCAGCCTGATACAGACAAAGGTGGGTATCTGAACAAGGCCGGCGGTATGTGAGTCATCACATGCCGCTGTCTGTCCTGACGGAGCCTTTCCGTTTCTGTCTGCAGAGTCCGACTCCCGATCCCCGCAGCTCGGCGGCCCTGCTCTGCTGCCCCAGACTCAGAAACGAACGGTGGGTGCGCAATGGCAAAGCAAAGGCCATCAGCCATTAATGCAACAGATAGATGGACATCTATCTAACTATCTGCCTCCCTCCCTCTCTGCCTCAGGGACCGCCATTTGGTGCTGCGTGAGATCAAGCAGCATTTCATTCCGGATGAGGAGCTGACCAAGACGGAGAGCAAGCTTGCAGAGCTGTGCACCGATCTGTCGGCAGCCAAGGGGAGGGTGGAGCCCGTCATGAGGTTTCTCGGGGCAGCTGCAGCAAGATCCGACGACGAACCGCCAGTGAGTCAGTCCGCGGGAAACAATGCATTCCGGGAGTTTTGGTATTGATACGCTACGCTACGTATCCCTTCCTCCTTTGTCTCTTTCAGGGTAGTGTGTACGAAGACACGGTGCTGTATCCGATAGGCGTCAATGTCACCCCGGCAGCCGTCACACTGGGCACCGCGACACTGCCAAGGTAGGTCATTGATAGACAGACACGCACAACGTGACGTGACATCCGACAGACAGGTGCCCCTGGATGTGGATGTGTGGATGTGTGTGGTGTCATTCATTCATTCAGGCTGGCCACCCGCCCTGGTGACAGCTGTCTGCCCAAGCCGGTGTCGTGCCTCCACAGCAGGGCATCTCTGCTCACGTCAATCGCACACGCAGTGGCCCTCTCATGGCCTGTCCTGCTGGTGGGGCCCCCCGCATCAGGGAAGGCCTCTTTGGTGCGGTGGCTGGGGGCTGCGACCTGCGCCGACGTGGTGGAGATCCCCCTGACCTCGTCCATGGACGCCACTGAGCTGCTGGGGTGCTTCGAACAGATCGACGTAGAGCGGCTGCAGACGACTTTGCTCAAAAGGGCCGAGGACATCCTGTGCCGGCATGCATGCAGCTCCCTGGCCGAGTCCACCCGTCATGACGACACAGCCACACCAACAGCCAACCACATCGCTTGCAAGCTGAGTGAGCTGCTCGCGGCATTTCGGCAATCGGTCAAAGCGCTGACGAGCCCAGCAGCATCAGCAGCAGCAGGAAGCGGACCCTCCCGACACAGTGTCTTGGATCAGCTGCGAGAGCTCCTCTGCCCATCGGCATCCGATTCGTCGTCGATGGCCGGCGAGCTGGCGTCTCTTGCGAGGGAGTGCAGCCATCTGGAGCAGGTGTGTGCCCACCGGGCGGCCAGTGGTGATGGTGCTGTTGGCTTCGAGTGGGTGGACGGGTGCCTCATCCGCGCGGTGGAGGAGGGCAAGTGGCTGGTAATGCGGAACGCACACCTCAGTGCACCGGCCGTCCTCGACAGACTCAACTCACTGCTCGAACCAAATGGTAGGTAGGACGGACCCACACCCACCCTTAGCTCTAATTAATGTACCTACCAATGGTGTCCTGTCTGTCCGGTTGCTTTGCATTGCTTTGCGTCTGGTCTGTCTGTAGGATTTCTCTTGTTGACTGAGTGTGGCACGCCCCGTTTAATCAAGCCCCATCCGTCCTTCCGCGTGTTCTTCACGGCCGACGTGTCGGCGCCCTCCTTCCAGCAGCTGTCCCGGGCCCTTCGCAACCGCTGCATGGAGGTGTACGTCGACCACACGGCAGCCTCGCCCTCACTCTGGCACCAGGACGTCCACTGGGTGGCACTGCCAGACAGCAACAAGGTTGCCCGAGAGACTGCAGATGGTGGGGGCACAAGTGTCGTGGAGGATGTGCTGGAGACCATGGGGCGCTACTTTCGGGCCTTCAAGGACACAGTGGGCCATCATGGTCCGGAGGAATGTGGGCGCGTCGACGGTATCCGAAAGTCCATCGCTGCTGCTGCGGAACGTCTGGCTGGCGAGGAGCGGAGCGTCCTGGACAAAGCCATCCAACACCCCGATGCACTGGCTGAGTTGTTTATCCCGGATGGCAAGTGGCTCCTGGGTTTCCTGCGCATCTGCTGCGATGGCATGCGGGTGTTCAACTCTTCCCGGCCGACATCCCCCCCTCAGCCCGACTCCCTCCCGGCCGTCCTCACTCTCGCGCACATCGTGCTTCTCATGATCAATCTCAGCCGAAGCCACCACGTCGACACCAACACTTCGGAAGCCTCAGAAGAGGTCGGCGAGATGCTTAGAGGGCTGGCCGAGCATGCCAGGGGGGCTGTGCACAGCGCCCACTCGCATCGCTGCGTCGTGGACTGGGGCCACTTGCGGAGATGGGCCGACGCATTGGCTGTCCGTCGGGTGTCGACTTGCGATGGGGGGGATGGGTCGTTGCTGGAGGAGAGCTTCATTGCCAGCTGTGTGGCGCCTCTCACGGGCGGCTCGGCCATCCTCTCCATCCTGGCACTGCGGGCGATGGAGGGGACCGCCGTGGCCCTGACTGATACCCGTGACAGCATGGAGAAGCTGATGTCCGTCTTGGCAACCACCCCATCAGCTGAGGATGCCGACCTGAGCGGCGAGGGGTCAATACTGGCGAGCATTATCCAGAACGGCTATGTTTCGGATGCAGCGCGGCTCCTACAGCACACGACATACCTCTCCTCGGCTCCGTTCGCTGCCTCGCCCACCATGAAGCTCATTCTGCAAGTGGCTGCTGAAGGCAGCAGTGGCAGCTCCTGGCGGGAGACCAGCACTGAGGATCTAGGTCGGCTGCCTCACATGACGCTCCAGTCGGTCTCCTTAGGCAGGGTCCTCTCCCTAACAAACAGACACCAAGGCGACGCGCACAGGACCACTTCACCAGTATCGTTGACGGCTGCAGTGGGGTCACTAGCCGTCGCACGGGAGACGGCGCGGCTTGCGAGAGCGGAGTGTGACCTTCGGCAGCGGCTGGTGCTCGGATCGGTCTCAACAGAGGGGCAGCAGCCTGACTCGCTTCTCCGGCTGGTCCAGCGGTTTGAGGAGCAGCGGGTGGCTCTGCAGCGGCTGCCACACATAGGCCTGTCCGCCGCCACACCGACCGCTATGCGGAGCGATGCAAGGGGGATTATTCAGCTGGCCGAGGATGCCATTTCAGTTGCTCGAGGAGCTGGCTTGGAGGACCTCAAGGCGGTGGAGGTGGCCTTTCACGCCCGCGCCGCCGTGCAGTGCATGTCACGGCTAGTGGAACTGCTGACCGGGGCCACGTTTGTGTCGATGAAGGACGCAGCGACAGCATGGAACGGCATCCAGGCGGCCTTCCGGCTTGTCGCGGGCGATCTACACAGCCACCTCAAGCAGTGCGAAGGCCACCTGACGCTCCTGTGCAGGGACTCACGGCCAGTGCAGCAGCTACCCCCATCGCTGACAGCCCTGACGGGCATCCTGACACGAGTCGATCGCCTCTGTGACAGACGCGACCCGTGCGGTGGTCTTGTCGGCGGGTCGGCCCGAGTGGATGGCTTCTCTCTGCACGGCCTGCAGCCCCCCTACCAGTCGGTGCGTGGATACGTCCTGGAACGGCTCATCCTGTGCTCCATCCGGGAGGGGCTGTGGCTGCATCATCCGGACAAAGACGAGGGCGATATGATGGTGGTGGAGGAAGAGGACGACAAGCCAGCGAGGGACGGTGTGCTGTCACACGTCCAGGCGGCTCTCAGGCGCGCGACGAATGAGGCACGGAGGAAGGGAAGCACCCCAATCGGTGGAGGAGATGGAAGCGGCATTGGAGTGATGACGCCGGGCGCCACCACCCTCCTCGCCACCCTCGGCAGCTGTCACGCACTCAGGTACCTGAGTGGGGCACATGGGGCACAGTGTGCAGTGAGTGCATTGAGGGCAGGGAAGAGGCGCACATGACATGACCATTGATTGCGTGCTGTGGTGTGGTGTGGTAGGTGGTGCAACCGTTCTGTTGAGGCCGGGCGGGTCGAGGAGGCTGTGGAGAGGAGCCTCCTGGGAGCCCCACACACACCACCCACACGAGGGGCGAGAGATACACGTCGTCCACATTTCACCATCACTAGGGAGCACCGCCACTTCATGCTCTTCACGGTGATCCACCTATTCGCAACGCTCTGCACGCTCACCAGCCGCATCGTCGCCATTGGCCGCAACAAGACAGCAGACACAATGCGGCACCATGGCCTACAAATCCTCGACGCCATCTCTGTCCTCATCTCCCACGCGAGCACACTACTCCACGGCTTCCGGGATGATCCGCCCTTCCCAGACGACGCCGGCCGCCCCGGCCTGTCCCTCTCTCATACCATCTCGGCGTTGCTGCAGGGCCACGCAGCGGCATTGGAGCTGAAGTTCACCCTCGACAGCCACACAGCCACCAGCCACCAACCACACTTGACGCGGCAGCTGTTTTCGGCTGGCTTTCGGGCAATGGCGTTTGCCCTCCGAGGCCTCAACCACCTTGCTGCCGACCACACGGCGGCCTTTCTCACGGCAGGGGATGATGCAGATCCTGTGGCTGAGGAGGCAAGACAAGCCGGAAAGGATGAGCCCTCTACAACCGGTGAGAGGGATCTTCCCGCCCTCTCGGCGGTGGTTACGACGGGGTATCGTTCGAGCTTCTCCCTGCGGTACTGCTCGGAGGTGATGGCGACGGCCCCCATATCGAGCGCCGATGCCGTGCACCGACACCTGTCGGCCGTCACACGACTCTACTGCAAATCACCGCCATTCTGGGTGAGTGAAGGAAGGAGCCGTGACTGACACATACAGGTCAGACATGTAGGCCAGGCAGACAGTGTGTGTGTTTCTGGTGCGTGCAGCTTCACCGTGAGGAGGAGAGGCCCCCGTCATCGCCACCAGCGTCATCGAGCACTACCGGTCCCCGTCCCCATCAATGTGCCACAGACGACGACTGGTGCATACTCATGGCCATGGTCGAAGCCCTCATGCCCTCCGTCCTCGACACAGATGACCTGCCACTGCTGGAGTCCATCACAGCCGTATTCACAGGGCACTCGCCCGCCCCAGCAGAAGAGACCACCGCAGCACTCGCCGCCATCACTGAGATCAGCAACAAGATGAAGGAGACCACAAACCAGACCGACGGGACACTGAAGCGATTTGCCCTCCCGATTGTCGCAATTCTAGCTCGGCTGGTCCACCGAGCGAGGGACGCTGCGACGGCCGACCCGTCGGTTGAAGCCTACTGGCGAGGGGTCCTGTGGGTCTTGGCTGGCCTGTGGCGGGTGGCCAACGCTGCCGACAGCTACGGTGCGTGGGCGGCTGCGTCACTGGAGATCACCCTGAGACGACAGGAGGCCCAGGTGCAGCTAACCAAGACCACCGAGCAGCGCCGCCTGCTTGAGCTGCAAACGGTCTGCCAGCCGGGCATGCTGCCGTCGTGGTCTGACTGTGCCGACGTGAGGGAGCAGGAGGCCGACCAGGCCAGACTGCTGCGGTACCTGGAGCAGCGGAGTTTCCTGCGGCCGCCCCTTCCTCCCATGCCCTCGGACGCGCTCGCCGGATCCGTGTGGATGGACAGTGAGGGGAGGATGGTGTCGGCGGCGGCGGCGGCGGGGCAGGCGTGTGCGGGTGAGCAGGAGGTGCTGGAGCAGATGCGGCGGTCGCTGCAGCAGTTCGTGAGCGACGTATGCTCGACCGACAAGTGAGTCAGACTCTGACACACATGCACCCACCCACCCTCCATCATCCATGCATCCATCCATCCATCCATCTGTGTGTGTGTGTCGGTTGCAGGGTGTCTTGGATGCTGCCTGTGTACCCGGCTGTGGTGGCTATGGCCGACGACACGGCGTCGCCCCTCCCCCAGCCACAGCCCGTGTCAGCAGCGGGAATCGCCACACTGACGGCATTCGGCCAGCGATTCTTGGAGGAGTTTGAGCAGCGACACCCACTCTTCCCAGACGTGTCACAGTCCATTGCTGTCGGCATCCACGCCCACATACACGGCCTGCATCTCGTCCAGCTGCCGCAGCACTGCCCTGTGGCACAGCCTCCAGCTGGTGTGGGTGTCGCGGCGGTCTTGGCCGAGACGAGGACCTTCTTCCAGTGTCCCGTGCACTCTGTTGCATCTCGCAGAGACGTGGTCTTGTCGAGTGCGGTCATCGGGCCCGACGCTCTGTTGACATGGCTGCTGCGGTGGGCGGCGGCAGGGAGGAGTGGAAGCAACATCGCCCAAGGGCCCATTGCACACACGCTGCGAGCCCTGCTGCGAAAGGTGAGCCTTTCATTGGACGCTGCCGTGTGTTGAATGTCTTGTGATGCATGTTTCTCTCTCTCTCTCCCTCTCTCTCTCTCTCTCTGTGTGTGTGTGTGTGTGTGTGTGTGCAGCTAGGCGTCTTGTGGTCGGCCGAGTGGCGTGATGAGCGAGAGAAGGAGCGGCAGAAACAGGCCGCATTCCAACAGGATGTGGGAGGTGACAGGGACGACGGTACCCCCACCGTGGATGACGATGCTGAGGTGCAGGAGCTCTTCCCTTCCTCCCAGAGGGCCGCACAGACCTTCTTCGGCGACCTCACGCTGCCCGACGAGGCCGACGTCGAAATGGAGGACCGTCAGCCCACGCATCAAGACAACAGCTCCCCACTACCCCCGCCCCAAGGCCAAGAAGAGGTGCCTGGAGGGCCGACCGGCGGCAAGGCCATGGCTCGGGAGGCGGGGAGGCTGCTGGTGGCGACTCTGACGGAGGACAAGAAGGCAGCCAGCCCGGACCTGACAGCTGGGTCGATACACCTGCAAGGCCTCCTGCGCCAGAGACGAGTCGCCTTGCAGGTATGTGATGTGCCACCTGGCACCGACAGACACGCTCGTCTCATTCACTCACAACGTTCCGCGGGCGTTGGTGCGCTGTGCGTGTCTGTCTGTCTGTCTGTCTGTCAGGCTTCAGTGGCCCTCCACATGGGCCTCCTAGAGACCTGCATGCCGGCCCCCGGTGTGGACCACACAGGAGGAGCTCAAGGGCAACAGCAGGGTCCCACCACTAGCCGCTTCCTGTTGCCTCCCGCCTTTGACGACTACGGCAGCCCCGGGGTGCTGGCGACGCTCATCACCTGCCGCGAAGCGCTCGCAATCGACACCTCACGACTCGCACAGGTGGGCAGGGCAACATCCGCCAGCCACACAGGCACACAGGCACACAGACAGACAGACAGACAGACAGACAGACACAGGAGATGGGCGTGGCGTATATGCCTGCCTGCCTGGTGTGATGTCACGTGTGAAACAGAGAGAGGATGACCAGTTGCGAGAAATGCTTGGTGAGACGGACGGACAAGACGAGGATGAGGCCACCGGACAGCAGGAAGACGCCGAGGCGGCGTTGAAGGCGGAGAGGCGGCGGCTGCATCGTGAGCGTGCCAAGAAGATGCGGTTCGTGCACCTGCGGCGGAAGGGCATCGGGGTGCAGCGAACTGTGCAGAGCGGCGCCTCGTCCTTCTACTCCACCTCCAACCCTTCTCTGGTGGGCTCCGTGTGGCCGGCGGTGCAGAGGGTGGGTGAGGATGCGGAGCGGGTCATGGACATCTACCCTGACCAGCCGGCACTCATCGGCGTCAAACAAATGGTGGGGGAGGATGCGATCGATGCGATCGATGCATGACAGACATGAGATGAGGCAGGCAATCTAATCGCTGCTGTCTTGTCTGTCGCTATGTGATATATGTGATGTGATAGGTGGAGAAGATCTCCCAGGCGCCCCTGTTCCGTACGCCGGCGGCGGCGGTCCTCACAGCGTTGGAGGCCTTACTTGAACGAGCACAGTTGTGGGAATCCCGTGCAAGTCGCGAGGTGTCCTTACGAAAGGGCCTCGAGGCCGTCGAGCGACAGGTACGGACGGACCCCCACGCACTGCACGGAGCTGACAATACCCTTATGATCGATCATCGTGTGGTGTGTGTCATCCTGCCTGCCCTGCCTCACACACAGGTGATTCGTCTGCGTCAGCGTGAGTTGGAGGAATGGCGCACTCTGAGACACTTCCGTGAAGAGCGATGGGCCGACGAAGCGCTTGCAGCCCTCCCACACCTCATCAACCTGCTCGCTGACCCACCAGACACAACAGATGCAGACACAACAGATGCCAACAAAGCCCCCAGTGACGACACCGTCCGGCAGGTGGTGGACCAGCTCATGAAGTTCCTGCGGCTGGCCCCCCTGGGGCAGTTTGACACGCGCATCCATTTGCTGGAAGCGTGTGGGCGGTTGTTTGCGTCGTCTGAGCGTGCGCATGAGCGGGCCATGGGTCGGGCGGCGTGTCATGTGGCAGCTTACGGTCGGGTGTGGTGTGAGGCGGTGGAGGGTGCGTTGCAGAAGGCGCGGCGGGAGATGGACAAAGAGGTGCGGGAGCTGGTGCAGCTGACCAGATGGGACCTCAGCAACCACATCGCACTCAAAGAGTACGCCAGCGAGCACGTCTGCACTGCACGACCAACAGACGAAGGTAAGGTATGCATTGCATTGTCGACTTCTTTTTTGGCGTCAGGGCTGTTCACCGGAGTCACCATCAGCTCAAGAAGGCCATCACACGGTTCGACGACGCCCTCAAGGTAAGCGAACCCTCACACACACTTTTCTTCCCTCCGCCCTGCATGGCATGCATGACATCACTTCATCCATCCCATCCTGGCTATCTATCCTCAGGAGCCCTGCGACCCCCACATAGTGAGCTACCAGGCGCAGCACGACCACACGCACCTCACCGCCGCATCAGCACCACCACCAGACACGTCTACCAGAGGCGACAACGAAGGCACTGCTGACGATGAGGAGAGGAGCAGGTTTGCCTTCCTGGAGGAGGCCGCTGTGCTGCCCTCGGATGAGCTCCCTTCCGTTGCGCCTGTGGCGGGTGAGGGTACGGTGGATGCCGGCGATGGGGCGGTGGGGGTGGCTGAGGGGGATACCTTCTGGAGGAACGAGCAAGCCGTCGCTGCTCGGTCACCCGCCCTCACACACAGAATGGTACGCACCCACTGGCTGTGTGCGCCAAGCTATTACGGGAGTGAGTGTATGTGTGTGTGTGTGTGTGTGCAGGTGAGTCTGGTGCGCAGGCGGGTGCTGCAGAGGGTCCATGGGGTGCGGCAGCCAGGTAGGAAATATAAGAAACACACACCACAACCATCGATGGCTGGCCCTGAGTGTGTCTTGATGTTGCATCCCATCGATGTGTGTTCCTTCCCACAGCTGCCGGTGAGCTGACCGAGTCGATATGCGCTGCCATCAAAGACACACTCAGAAACCTCCAGGTTAGCTTCGTAAGATTCCATCCGCTGCTGTCTGAATCGGCACTGAGAGAGGGAGGGTTTGTGTTGTGCTGTGGGTCTCTCTGGTCTGCAGGACATGTCTGCGTCATTGAAACGTCGGCAGCTGCTGTCCCTCCGACAGGAGCTGCAGTCTCTCGGCATCAAACACCTGGCGCAGGGCGGCAGGTCGGCCGCCGACGTGTCAGCCTTTTTCACCAGCAGCCCCACGCCAACACCCTGGCCCCCGTCCGCACAGCCCCTGCTGCTGCATGGCTCACTGTCGGATGGCGCCCACCGGGCGATCCAGGGCATCCTGTGTGAGGGCCAGGGGCAGCTGTATCACGTGCTCCACATCTTCCTGAAGCTGCAGCAGACACAGCCGCACCCAGACATACAACACGAGTACCAACGGCTCTCAGGTGCGTGGCGTGCAGGGCAGTGCAGTGCAGTGCACGTCCATCACTCAGTCCTCCCTGTGTGTGTGTCCTGACTGACAGGGATTAGTGCATCCCTTCTCCACGCGTCGATGCGTCACCAGCAGCGGTGTTTCGGCTATGCATCCCGCCTGCAGCACCTCTGCCTCGCCGCACACCCCCTCCTCTCAGGCCCTTCCCTCGCCGTCCCCTCCCACCTCATCCACTCCATCACATCGGCCCTCACCCATCTGGAGGAGAGCTTCCTCCAGACCATCGCGCTATTCGGTGACACGGCTACGACACCCATGTCGCCCGAGGCGCTGCAGCAGTCCCTCCCGCCACTCATCGACGAGTCTCTGCTCGACCGACATGCGGACGAGTGGACACGGCAGCTGGCCGGCGGCACGGGGGCTGCCGAAGCTCAGAGGAAGGTGGCGAGTGCGATGGTCAAGTGCGTGCCCGTGATTGACATGGCCAAGCGGCAGGTGGTCGACAGCTGCGAGTACCAGCTGCTCACAAGACACGACTATCGCGGAGATGCTGACAAGATGCGCGTGTCGGTTGACACGCTGCAAGGGTGGCGGGAGAGGGTGAGTGCCGTGTGCGCGTGTGTTGACGAGGCGCTTCTGTCTCGACTCGATGCACTGGTGGACCTCCCGTCGGCGGCCGTGAGGGGTGTGAGAGGGGCTGTGACGGCGCTGCAGGCTGGGCGTGGGGAGCTGCTGCGACAGGTCGACAGATGCAGAGGGGGTCAAGACATCACAAACACTGAGGGGCACGTTGAGGGCCAGGGGAGGCTGGTGCAAGCCTGCCTGCTGGCGATCCAAACTGCTGTCAAGAGCGATGACAAGGTACGTACCAGTCCTGGTATGGATGGATGGATTTGGGCACGCAAACATGGTCAGACACGACACTTGCCGTGCGCTGTCTGTCTGCCTGTCTGTCTGTTTCAGTGCCTCTTTGTCTCATCCGACGGCCAGTCGACGGACCCTGAGTCCACCTACCCGGCCCCCGATCTCTCCGATGCGCGACCACTAGAAGAGACCCTCCCCCTCTCACCCCTCCTCACCGCCCTCCAACACCACCTCGACAACGCCACAGCAGACACCACTCTCGCCGACTACCTCCCCACAGCCCTCCACCCCGCCGCGCCCTTCATCCGGCAAGTCATCCTCCTCGCAGAGGCCCTCCTGCTCACGGCGGCCGACACCTTCAGCGGTGTTGCGTCGCTGTCGGTGAGGGTGCTGCAGGTGGTCCATCTGCTGTATGAGAAGGGGTTTTGTGTGGACAAGGCCAAGGAGGTGGAGGGTGCCGGAGAGGGGGAGGGTGGGGATGAGTGGGTGGGGGGCACTGGTCTGGGCGAGGGAGAGGGCATGAAGGACGTGACGGAGGAGATAGAGGAGGAACACACCATGGAAGGTACGTATGTGGTGCACCGAGCGGGGGCGGGGCGGGGGGCTGGGTACACACACTACACCTAAACATGCATGGTGTGTGCACAGCACACGGTGTGTGTGTCTTGTGTCGTGTCGTGTCGTGTCACGGCTCATTTGTCAGGTCTCAAGGGTGACGAGTCGGCCCGGCCGGAAGGCCACCAGAAAGACGTGAGTGACGTAGCATAGCACCGCATGACATGACTCTGACAGGCAGGCAGGCAGATCACGTGCGTGTTGACGATGCTGGCTGGCATTCAGGACGAGAAGGATACGGCCATGGAAGTGTCCTTCGACTTCGAGGGCGAGATGCAGAACAAGCCGCAGCCCGACGCACAGGAGGACCAGCAAGACGAGCATAACGAGGAGGAGGAAGACAAGGCCGACCGGACGAAAGGTGAATTAAGGCCATCCATCAACACAGATCGATGTGATGCTATGCTGTTTCTAACTAATGTAGGTCAAGTTGACCTGAGCGAGGGCGGTCAGCTGGACGAGAAGCTCTGGGAGGGCAGCGACACACAAGACGATGACCAGGACGACACTGCGGAAGGCCAAGAAAGGGACAACAAGTCCGAGGACATTACCGCCAAAGGTGCACACACCACACACAGAGAGCCAGCCGCCCGCACCACACAGGACAGGCACCCACCCACCCACCCACCCATCGCCCCATACACTTACTGCTCTCTCTGCAGGCGGCAAACGGGCTGGCGAGACCGACACCGTCGCCCAGGAGGAGGAGCAAGAGAAGCAGGGCGAACCAAGAGGAGACGGCCAAGACCAGGGCGGCACCGATGAGCCCAGCCGTGACGAGGACGAGGAGCGCGAGGATGGTGCAGCAGATGAGGGTGACCGCGGCGATGACGAGGCGGACAAGTACCAAGCCCACCTGCCCAAACGGGACACCGACAAGGGCGGCGAGGAGCAGCAGGCCGAGGGGGAGGACTTCGACCTCGACAAGGTAAGGTAGCTATCACGACACCGGACAATAGACAGGATGCACGCACAGCACACGTGTGTGTCTGTGTGTGGTGGCACATAAGGACATCACTCTGGAGGGTGACGAGGGCGACATCGACTTAGACAAGGACCAAGAGCAACCAGAAGAAGAGCTCGGAAAGTCCCTTGAGCAGCAGCACAGTGAACCAGAGGGTAAAGACACTGGCCAGGCTGAGGAGCAAGAGGCGGGCGGCCAACTGGAAGATCAGCCGATGGGTGAGGGTGAGGGGCCTGAGGACAACGAGCCCACAGGACAACAGCAAGAAGAGGAGCAGGAGCAGGAGCAGGCGCCCCAGACGGACGACACTGATGGCCTGGGTAGGTACCCCTCACGTGACATTTCACGACCACAGTACCACGCCTGTGTGTGTGTGTTCAGATGTTGACGAGTCGCGGCGTCGGGGGGAGGCGCCAAGTGCAGATGACATGGAGCATCAGCAACCACCACCACCACCAGAGCCGCTGGCACACGGAGGTGGGCTCACAGGGCGCATGCATGGCAGACAGACAGACAGACAGAGAGACTGACAGGTAGTCAGGTAGTTAGGTAGGTGTGTAGGTAGCCAGCTGCCTGGGATGATCGTCGTACGCTAGCGACAAGAGGCCTCTGACCACACATGCGTTGTGTGGGATGACGGAGTCCTCGAGAAGGTTGCTTCGCCCACATAGACAAAGCTCACACGCTGAGGCCAAACACACCATACATACACACCAACCACACCACAGATGCACACTGCATGGTCGCATGACCAGCTGGCTAGTGCTGACGTCTTGTCTTGTTCGTCTCTACTTGTACGTGTGTGTGCAGCGGCCGACGCGACGATGCGTGACGTGGGCGATGAGGGGGTAGAGGCGGAGGACAACCACCAGCAGCAGGAGGAGAACCTCGGCACATCTGCAAGGCGTCAAGACAAACCTCAGGTATATATTCAGCGTGGCCGCACCAGCTGAGCGGCCAGGTTAGGTACTTATGTGTGTGGATGTGATGTATTCGGTGCGTGCAGCCGACCACTGCCTTTGGTGTCATGTCGACGGAGAGGGGAGACCAGGCTCTCGATGAGGAGGCTTCATCTGATGCAGTCAGTAACCATACCATATGACACACACACAGACAAACACCACTATGGTTTTATTCACTGATCGGTGAGTGAGTGGGCTGATTTGATTGGTGGATCGGTGGATCGCATCGCAGGATGTGGATGAGTCGATGAAGGACATGCTGCCGCCAAACGACTCTAACGTATGTAGGCACTCACCATTGGCTGCACACACACACACACACACACACACCGACCTACAGACGTGGGCATTTGTCATATATATATTGTGTGTGCAGGTGTCCCAGCGTGGCACCGCTGCTGCCATGTCCGACCAGGGGGCGCAGACCATCAGCCAGCAGCAACAACAGCAAGACGCCGCCAACAGAAGGTACACACAGACAGACAGACAGACCCTCCCATCGGTACCCTCCCTACACAGGGGCCGAGAGCTGCCCTTGTCATTCATTTCACGTTTTCTCTCTGCCCATCCCTTCCCATCGGTCCGCAGCCGTCCGCCGCCCCGTATCCCCAACCCGCTGCGTGACCCTGTGGAGATGACGGAACGATGGCTGCAGAAAGTGGCACTCCAGCAACAAGGTAGGCGACATCGCATGCATAAGTCTTCCTTGCACCGCTATATGTGTGTGTCGCTTGCAGGCGGTGAGGAGCAGAATCCCGACGAGGCGGGGCCGGTCGAGGAGAGCGCTCCAGACACACTCGAACACGGTAAGAGAGACAACAGCCAGCCGGGTTGACAGACAGTCGCCGGCCGTCGCGTCACTGTTGTGGGGCTGTCCTGTCCTGCCTTGCAGGTCATGGTGCGTTTGAGATGGATGAGACGAGCAAGCTGCAGGGTGCTGCAGAGGTGCAGTCCGACGCCATCGAACAACAACACCTCAAGTAAGACAGAGAAGAAACCGCTGGCTGCGTCGCATGACTCTGTGTGTGTGTGTGTGTGTGGTTCTGCAGGTTCAGTGTGATGGAGGAGCAGGAAGACGACTCAGCAATGGACACCGACAAGAAGCAAGACGAAAGCGACCAAATGCGGCAAGGTGCGGTGCGCACCCACACGCGTCGCGTCCATCCATCGACGGGCTCTGTGACTGCCGCATGTGTCATCAGACACCACCCCCGATGCAGCCCTCCCCCACCGCCCCCTCAACCAGGCCTCACGAGACAAGGCGCACACATCACCCGACCAGCCCGACGAGGCGGCACAAGGCAGTGGCACCGACAACGAGGCCAGCCTCCTAGACACCTACCGTCGCCGACAGCGGGGCCCTGTAGATGACAGCGGTGGGGGTGGCTTGAGGGTCGGCGAGCAGCTGGTCGACATCGATGTGGAGATGGAGGACGCCGAGGCCGCAGCAGCACTTGTGGATACGACCGAAGATGCCGCAGACAAGGAGGGGATTGGTGGGGGTGGTGGGGGACTCACAGAGACCGCTGCGCAAGGTACCTTTCGTGAGGGAAGGCTGGTGCGCCCCGAGCCGGGTGTGGTGTGGGGATTGTCCGTCGGGTGTTTCTCTCTCTGTGTGTGTGCAGCGTTGTGGCGTGAGTTGGAGGCCGAGACGGTGATGCACGCCACGGCATTGTGCGAGCAGCTGCGGTTGATCCTGGAGCCCACGCTGCGAGGCCGGCTGCAGGGGGACTACAAGACGGGCAAGCGCATATCGATGAAGAAGGTCATTCCATTCATCGCATCCAACTACAGAAAAGACAAAATATGGTAAACAGTATGGCAATATGGATGGATGGATGGATGGCAGGGAGTGAGTGAACACGGCAGGCAGGCACCGAGCCGACACGACACACCGTCACAGACACACATGTGTCTTATACACACACAGGTTGCGTCGTACCAAGGCGAGCAAGCGTGAGTATCAGATCCTGGTTGGCTTCGACAACAGCAGGAGCATGTCCGAATGCGGCGTCGGACCCATCGCACTGCAGGCACTCGCCATCATCTGCCAGGCAAGTCAAGTCACTCAGTCACAAATGCGCTCCGCACGCAAAACACAGAGCCCCGTCCGTCTCCCCTTCCATATGTGCTGCGCTGTGCTGATGGGGGCACTGTTTTGCTGTCGCCTGGCCAGGCGATGATGCGTCTCGAGGTTGGGGAGCTTGGCGTGTGCTCGTACGGCGGGTGAGTGTGAGAGTGGAGGGGAGTGGGGTCAAAAAATGTGATATGTGTGTCTGCACACTTACGGTGTTTGGGTTTGTGTTGGTTGTGTCATGTCATTCATGTATGTATGTCAGAGAGCATCCCCGTGTGCTGCTGCCTTTGGGTAAGGACTTTTCGTCCCACAGCCTGGTGGGCGCCCTGCAGAAGCTCACCTTCATGGAGGAATCGGCACAGTCACACCAACAGGTGAACAGGTGCACTCACTGCACGGAGGGAGGGAGGGAGGGGGCTGCATTTCACTCACCACGCCACGCACTCCACTCATCGCCGTATGTATTCTTTAATGTCTTTGTGTGTGTGCCTGATGGGATGGGATGTGTGGTGCCTTGCCTCAACTCACTCAAGGGTCTGCCGGACCTGCTGCAGCTGTGCATCAACATGTTTGAGAGGGGGGGCATGGCTGCGTCGTCGCGAGCCGGTAAGTCACACAGGGAGGGAGACACCCACCGACCACACAGACAGACAGACATCGCACCCACACACATCCTTTCCGTGCTGTGCTGTCGGCGCCATATATTTCTGGTTGCAGGTGGTTCGGTGCAGGTGCACCAGATGATCCTCATCGTGACAGACGGCCGGTTCAACAAGGCCGCCGTCCGCAAGTGGGTCCACGTTGCCCTCTCCAAACGGCACCTCCCCGTCCTCATCATCGTTGACACGCCGCGCAAGACACCGACACCCTCCCCCGACCAGCAGCAGGCTGCCAGCAGTTCGTCGTCAGTGTTTGACCTGAAGACGGTGACGTATGAGGGTTCGACGCCCAAGGTGACACACTACCTGGAGGACTTCCCCTTCCCGTACTATGCGGTGGTGCAGGACGTCACCACACTGCCGGCGGTGCTGACCAACGTTATCAGGCAGTGGTTCGACCTCATGAAATGAATGAACACAACACCAGGGGGTAGCGTAGCGTAGCTTAGCTAAGACAGGTGTGCCGTTGTGCTGCATGTCATGTCATGTCATGTGTCGTGTGGAGTGGACGTGTGTGTGGGAGGTTTTGTAAGTGTACAGTACGGAGGTGGTACATGGTAGGACAAGACATGTGTGGCTTCGTGCTTTATGTCGTGAGTGACGGTCATGTGTAGAGTGAGTAAATCAATCGCTCAAAACGAGCTATCCGTCCGTCCGTCCGTCCTCTTGACGACCGACGAGCAAACATACGCACACCAGGCCCCCATTGGCACGGCACCCATGTGGGCGATAGCTCTACACTACACGTGGGCACTCCACTCACTCAGCCCATCTATCGCGTCTGGTCTGTCCGACTGATAAACGCACACCGCATCGATAGCATAATAGATAGATAGAGGGAAGGAGTCGATCAGCCCTGGGTCACTTTGACCCATCCAGTCCCAATCCACGCGCACACAAGACAAGACACGACACTGGCTGAATTATTGAATTGGCGGCTTGGCTAGAAAAACAGCTGGCTGTCTGGCTCATACACTCCATCTCCATGGCCACGACGTGGCGGCCCCATACATGTCATGACGGGCACATCATCAGTCAGACGAAGAAGAACATGAGGGACGAGTAGTGCCGGATGACCAGCCCACCGGCGCAACACAGCACCTGGAACAGCAGCAGGATCTGCACCAGCCTCTTCTCTGTCATCGGACCAAATAACTGAAATCCTCACACGCACACACACACACACACACCAGGCCAGGCCAGCAAGCACGGCATAGCATCTCTTTCCGTCCGTCCCCCCAGGTGTTCAGGTCAGGTATGTACCCTGAGAGTGAAGTTGAGTAGCGTCAGGTTGGGTGTCGGCTCGAGCAGCCCTGTGTTGGGGTTACACCGCGGGATGCGGTGACGCGGACAGGGGATCACACCCAACAACTGACGCACATAACGCACATAACATAGAGACAGACACAGAGAGAGACGGAAGGAGAGCAATGTCGGGCTCGCAATGCGGCCATCCATCCATCCATCCATCCATGGGTGTTGGTTGGCTCAGCTCACTCACTTGTGGTAGTGAGAGGATGGTATTGAGGAGTTGTGGTATGAAAAGGAGCAGGAGGGTCTTGTTGAAGTGACCCAAAATACCAGCCACCGCAAAAAACATCCCCTGTCAGTCAGTCAGTCAGTCAGTCAGTGGCCATGCCATCCATGACAACACAGGGAGAAATAGCATACCCCTCAAATCAATCTAATCTGCCCGGCTTGCGGCAAGCCACGCCCCCCACCTAAACACTTACCGCGAAGTATGTGAATGTGTCGCCCACAAAGACGCGGGAGGGGTACCTGCCAACCAACCAAGAGGCACACACGACACGCGTGATGTGACGTACGTGCTGCGGTCGTCGAAGCCCGCCGGCCCCCCTGCCCACCCACCCACCCACCAGTTGTGACAGAGGAGCCCTAATGAGCAGGCCAAGAAGGGGAACGATATCAGCAACGAGAACAAATGCTGGGGGCGGGGCACACATCCATCCATCCAACACGGAACCGACCTCCACCGCCCAACTCACCATAGATGCGAATGGGTTGTCGTCCGCGGTGCCGTCTTCGACACTCCAGAAGAGCTCCAGGAGGTTGTGTAGGATGGTGGCCACTGTGATGACCACCGACTGACCCACCTCTAGACCATTCACACCTGCACACACACATCCGGGCAGGACAGACGGGCAGATGACACACACACACAGACAGACAGACAGACAGACCTGCGAGTATGTTGATAGAGTTGGTGCAGAAGATGGCCAGTAGCCCCATATACAAGTGGTAAAAGTAGCCTGAACAGACGACACGCAACGCAATGCAATCACAACCATGACCGAATGCCTTTCTCCTTCTGATTGCCGATAGGAGGAGAGGTCTCCGAGGGAGGGAGGGAGGGAGGGAGTGAGGTGCCTACCGAGGTTAATGAGGTGCGGTATTGACATGAGGGATGCGATCCACTTGGGAATGAGAATCGATGTCGACCCGCGGTAAGCAATCAGCAGCGGAAGGGACGCTGCGGTAGAGTAAACACGACACGACACACACAAGTCCGTCAAGTCCAAGGGCCGCATGCTCTGCTGTCTGCCTGCCTGCCTGCCTGCCTGCCTACCGAATGTGGGCAGCATGAGCTTGTACCTCCAGGCCAGATCGATGACATCGTCCACGAAACCCTCTCAACAGCAATGCAACCAATGCAACGCATTCACAACTGTACTACACATTGGGTGCGCTGTTCAAATGGTGGGAGGGGTGTGCTGCTCACGAGGAGGATCATGAAGCATATCGACAGCAGACCAGCGTTGTACTCGAGCAACTGACAGACACACAGACAGACACACAGACAGACACACAGACACACAGACAGACACACAGACGAAACGGAAAGACACAGACAGAATGCAGGTCAGGTCGTCGAGTCGAGTGATGAGTGTCGCATGGCAGCTGAGCTGAGCTGAGTCGCTCACTTTGACGGCGTCTGATGAGAACATGAACTGCGATAGGATGACACACACGAGGAATACCGTGCCGGGGATGATGCCCAGCGCCTCAGGCCTAGTGGCATACCAACACAATACATACAGCACACACAACCAACACATACAACCTCCCGCCCCACAGTGCAGTGTTTGCTGACTGACTTACACCGGCACGTCCTTGCCGGGTTTGTTGAGGTCCTTGCCGAAGAGTCCTCTGGCCTTGAGCTTTTCTGCGAAAGGCGGGATGAGGTTGTAGGTGAGGATGAAGCCGACCACCGACAGGAACTGGCTGTACATGATCTGGAACAGATAGGGCGACCCCAGCAGCACCACGTCCACACCCACCCACAAAGCCGCCAACAGCCCTGTCACCAGCATCCACTCCATCACTCTTAGGAAGGAAAGACTCAGTGCTGTCTGTGTCAAGCCAGCAGCGGAGATCGATGCTTGAGAGAGATCAACTGCTGATATCGGGCAGACGAAGCGGCACACGTCAAGCGTCACGTGGAGCGGGGAATATGACCTTTGACCTGTTTCTTTTCCACGCCGAGCTCGCGCAGAGGAGTCGGATCGCCCAGCTGCAAACCAAAAGGGCTCCGTCGATTCGATGGACGGCTGTGTTGCACTGCACTGCAGCACGATGAAATTCATGTTTATGTGGCACGCGGCTGGTAACATGAAGAATAACTAACGACCACATAAATCTCTGTCTGACTGTCTCGAAGCAATCCCGTTCTCATCCAAGTAAGGCGTGGCGTGGCACGGACAGTGAGTGAGTGACCCACACGTGTGCACGACAGACACGACAGACGCGTCGAGCCGGCTGGCTGGCCACCGACTGATCGACAATACAATGTCTGCCACCCCAGCCCACCCCCACACAGGCAATCATGACCATGACAGCCGCATGGCATGCACAACCCACACCACACTCCACTCCACTCCACTAGTTAGTTAACTGTCTTTCTTCCCTTCACTCTGTGCCGCCGCGGCAGCACCACTACTACCCGTTGTTAACTCCTGGCTGGCCGCAGCGTTGCCTTTGCTCTTCTTCCGGGGCGCTCGTTGCTGTGCGGCGGCGCCCCTGTCGATGCCGAAGTACGAGCACAGGGAGTCCTCGGTGTACTTAAGGCGCGGGTACTCGCCCTTGGCGTTGCGCGATGGCGCCCTCTTGGCCTCCTGACATGTACATCCGCCAACACACACACCACACGGGTGAGAGACCACACACGTGTGTGTGAGTGAGTGCCGTGTGGCGGTGCGGTTTGTCTCACCTGTCCTCTCTCGAACAGGATGAAGGTGGGCAGCTGGTCTGACCGATCAGGCTGACACACACAAACACAGACAGAAAGAGATATAGATACGGATGTTCCCTCCCTCCCTCCCTCCCTCCCTCCCTCACGTAGCGTGCGTGCGTACGTCGATTTGGAATCGTTTGGCGAGGACAGCGTTGCGTGAGATGTCCACCTTGCCGAACCGCAACCTCTCACTCGTGTACCTAGGGAGATAGATACACATACACACAGCCGAGCCGCCATGCAATGCAATCAATGCAATCACTCAGTCACATAACATCCATACAGCCATCCATCCGTCCATCGTTTGTCTGGCTGGCTGGCTGTCTGGCTGTCTGTCTGCTTACTTGAGTGAAAGGTTGGCGATGACGACCTGGGGCTCGGAGCACTCCTTCCTGAATGGCTTGTAGAAGAGGATCAACCAGGTGACCTCGAGCGTCTTGTCAAGCAGCGGGCCCTTGCCCGCCAGACCCAGCAGGTGGGCAAACCGGCCCTTACCGTCGATCATCTCCACCTTAGACTCGCCCTGATAGTGACCCAACGGGAAGACCAACCACACACCTGCATCCCATCCATCACACACACACACACACACACACACAGACGGACAGACAGACACCACAACGAAATGAATATCAGTACTGCCCTCCCTCCCTCATGGACAACTGGGTGCATCATTTCGGCCTGCCCTGCCCTGCCTTCCTTGCCTTGCTGCACTGCACTAACTGCATGAGTGAGTGCATTAATTGCGTACTTACAGAGGCAGAGGAAGGAGTACCAGAGGCCCATGACGACGTTGGACATCCAGAAGGACGCCAGGATCAGCGACTTGGTCCACACGAACAAGTCCAGCAGCTTGTGGTCCCACGTGGCCTTGCGATTCGAGCGAAAGACAAAGAACACACCCAGCACCACAACCGCACACAAATCGCGGCGCAACCCCGTGTGCTGGTCCTGTGTGGCGGTGAGCTCCTGCAGGGCCGGCGACATGAGCCGCGCCGGGATGAATAGAAGGATCAGCAACACGTTAGCCACATGGATGGGCTGAAAGAACCGAGGAAGGCGGATCATTGATTGATGCCCAAGACCAACAAAGCCTCAAGCTCGCGGGCGACATCGGTTTCTCGAAGCCTTTGAGCTCGCGGTGGAGAGAGAAATGTGCCGTCCCTGCCTTGTATGTGGGTGTTGGACGTTTAAGAGGATTTAAGTGTGTGTCTTGCGGCGAGATCTGCGCCACGCTCTCGAGGAAGTGACACGACCCCATCCAGCAGGAAAGCATCCATGTACCTGATCTATATCCCCGGGCATTGATTGTCCATCTTTGTGTTCTTCGCATGTACCTGCAGAGCAGCGTGAGCCCGTGACTCTCTCCGGTGGTCAGTCACCCGCACCGCCATCTCAATGGCCGACCCCGAGAGACCATCAGCCAACGGGCCGTCAGCAGACCGCGACGGTGCCGACGGCAAAGATGATGAGTGCCAGCCTGATGATGCAGAGGAAGAGCGGGATCAGCCTGATGGGCATGACGATGCCAGCCCTGCAGCAGCAGCAGGTGCTGATGGACCAGGTGCTGCCGCCGGTCCACCGAAGCCCAAGAAGAAGACCAAGAGGGGCAGCAAGAAGAGCAAGCGTGCGAAGGAGGCCGACGATGCCTCCGTGCCGCCCTCGGCCTCCCCGCCCAGCGAGAGCACCTCTGTCATCGACATGAACGAGGCGGCGGAGCGGAGCGGCTCCGCCAATGAGTTCTGCCCGCAGCCGCCCGAGGATGAACCTGACTTCTGGAAGCACAAGGAGCTTATGGGGCAGATCGAGATGATGGAGAAAAGCATGAGGGAGAATATCGAGAATATCGCGAATATCCAAGACGCGGTGACCGAGCTCGGCGAGGGACTCTTCCCCATGAACTCAGCCAACCAGCACGACATTGCTCGTGCGGCGGCATGGATTGCTTCCCAGGAGAGGAAGATGGGGATGGAGAAGCAGAATGGGAACGAGCAGCGGCCTTCCGAGAGCTCCTCCCGCCCCTCCACAGATCCCTCCTCGCTCTCGTCTCGTCTCTCTCACCTCCGCAAGCTCGTCCACGACAGGATGCACGGCCGGCCGGACAAGTCGGCAGAGGAGGAGGTCCAAGCCTTAATTAGGTGCGAGAAGCTCTCCAGCTACCACTCACGGAAGCTCCAGCGAGAGGGCTGCCCGTGCTTCGCGGCGAGGGATGAGGACTGCAAGTGCAGCCTGCAGCGGCTGGTGCGTGTGCCCCTCACGGTCAGCCTGGAGCGGAGTGTGAGGAAGGGGGCCGAGCTGGCCGAGGGTCACGAGATCTTTGTAGAGCCCAAGTGGCTGCCAGACGTGCTGAGTGCGGGCAGAGAAGTGGGGTCGGACGGCCCGCCCCTGAGCGGCATCGTGGGGTTCGATCCCGATGACGAGCCCGACAGGTTATCCTGGGACGCCGTAGACAAGATACGCCCGATCCAGGTGCGGTTCGTTGATGGAATATCCATGCATGCAGCGCGTAGATGGATGGGATTCTGTCTGACTGCCTGGTGTGCCTGGTGTGGTTCCTTGATGCACGCCACGCCTGCCTACAGGGGTTTGTCCATCACTTCCCCGGCTTGCTGATGAAGTCGGTAGTCAACGACCTCTTCGTGAGGCACCTCGAGGCCAGCTGCGGCTACGACAAAATCGCCCAGGTCCTGCGTGAGGTGCGCAACCATGATGGAGGCGACAGCGACCTCGACAGCCTTCGGCACCCTCTTCCTCCCCCGTCGGATCGAGACCGTCCATCCGGCCCCCGCCCCTCCCCGACCTTCGAGGCCTTTCTTGCCAGCCGTAAGGAGATTCCGACTGCCATCGTGGCGGCGCTCGAGCACCTTGAGAGTGCCCTGGCCATGCAGCCCGGCTCGCATGAGTGGGGAGGCGATAGCGGGCCACCGTCGGCCTCGCCGGCAGCCACCCCCGAGAGCGGTTCCCCCACACCACAAGACAGCCAAGGCAAGGATACGGACGGTGCGGATGGAGAGCCAGGCCCATCAGCCGCCACATGCGGCAGCGACGGTCTCCGCCCCCGCACTCTGACGGAGCTTCTCGGCACTGACGGCACACAGGGGGAGGAGGAGAATGCCAATGGTGAGGCGGCCGACCGCAGAGGCCGTGTGTCGATTGATGCGGCCAAGTGGGACGAGGTGGCGGCGCGGTGGGCCGTGCGGTGGGACATCCCGCTCATCGTGGACGCCTTCTTTGCCGTGCTCGTGCCGGTGTCGGACGTCTGGTTCGACCTCCCCTGGCGTCACGAGCAGATGCTGACGGTGCTGGATCGCATCGGCCGCGAGGAGGGATGCTTCGACTTGCTCTCCCTCTTCGCCCTCTGCAAGATGTTCGAGCCGCGGATGGACAGCAAGGAGCCCTCCCTGGCCGACCTCCAGCAGTGGGTCCGCGATAGCCTCTATGCACCGCACCCCCTCAACGGCCTCTTTGGGCGGGACATGAAGCCCCCGGTGCCGGTGCCGGACCCGGAGTATCTACCCGAAGGTTTCGTCCCTTATCGGGGTGTGAATGAGCTCCCGTGGATCATCGATTTGCGGGATTTGCTGGCATGCCGGCTGATGGACCAGGTGCGGCTGCTGGAGAGGGCCTTCCTCTTGGGCCGGCCCTTCACCCCGCCGCAGTGGCTCACGACATGCCTCGACGCGTACTTCGGCGAGTACAAGCGGCCAAAGAAGCTGACCGCCGACGACGCATCCACATCAGCGCACAGCAAGGGGACAGGGCGGAAGAAGGCCGATCCCCTGGGGTGGCTGGCAGACGTCAAGTCAAGGCTGCTGCGAACTGAGCGAGACAAGTTCACCAAGAATCGGCAGAGGGACGGCAAGAGCGGTGCAGGCGGCGGAGGCGGGCAGGGCAAAGGCAGAGCCGCGGGCGGCCGGAAAGGACATCCATCACACCATCAGCAGCAGCAGCCGAGCGCCGAGAGCGTTGTGGCGGAGATGTATGTGCTTCGGATGAGAATTGGAGCGCTCGCCACCGGCTGGCGGCTTTGCCACTCGGCTGAGGAGATGGGAGAGGAGATGAAGCTGCTGGAGATGGCGGGCTACGACGAGGGCGAGGCCCCCGAGGGCAGCGAGGCGAAGTTCGTGAGTGGTGTCATTTTCGACCTGCTCACCACGGACTGCCGCCACCTTCGGCACCTCGACGCTGTCACGACCGCCAAGATCATCAAAGACTTCATCGCCAACTGGCTGTGGCAGTACCTCAGGGTACGTGACGGAGGAGGCAGGAAGGGGAGGAGAGCAGACAGACAGACAGACATACTGTTGTGTGGCCTCCCTCTGTGTCTGTCTGAGTGCAGCGATGTACCGACCTTCGTGACAGGGAGCGGAGGGGACTGGTCGACCGGTATGAGGCAGCCGAGGGGGCGGCCGCGGAGGCCTTCATCCAGGAGACCGGCGGCCTCCCGCCATGCATACAAGACGATTACGCCAAAGCCGACGATAACCTCGAGAAGAAGGTCAGCGGCAAGGACACCCAAAGCAGACACGGCAGACACGACCTACATCCCCGGGCAATCGAATCGAGCAGGTCAATCTCTCTCTCTCTCTCTCTCTGTGTGTGTGTGTGTGTAACAGGTGCACATTGACGAAATGTGCCATGGGCTCGGCCACCAAATCGGTGGGTCGGTCGATTGACACACACGCCACCGCCCCGCCAGCTGACTGGTTATCTGTGTGTATACATGTCTGTCTGTCTATGTGGGTGTGTGTGCAGCGTCGTGTGACGCCCAGCAGCAGCAGGTCAAGGAGGACATGGACAAGCTGCTTCGCATCCCCAAAGGCACGTACAGCGAGGAGGATGTCAAGAAAGGAACGGAGTGCCTGAAGAAGGCCTGGCAGGCAGCCCACATTATGAGGCAAGACAAGACACTGCTTCTCGGTAGGTGGTGGGTGGGCAACTAGACTGCATCCATCTCACAGACCACTCAGTACTGCCCCGTCCCTCTCCTCTCCCTCTTTGTGTGTCCGTGTCATGTCAGCTGGCCACAGGCGCAAGCAGCGGGAGTGGACGTGTCCCGACGGCCTGCGCTACGAGGACTTCGCCTACCTCGACGACCACCTGGGCCCCGGCCCCTCGGCCCTTGACCGTGACGTCGTCTCTCAGTTCATGATGACGCGGCACACCGAGACCACTCAGGAGGACCCCGAGACACGCAACGAGAAGCTCGCCAAGAAGAAGGAGCAGCGCGACCGCCGGAAGGCCAAGCAGCAGGGCGGTGCTGTGCAGCAGCCGCCAGCGAAGCCGATGAGTGCAGCGGCGCTTGAGGCGCAGCAGAGGAGGGCGGCACAGATGGAGAAGCAGCTCCTGGCGCAGGAGAAGGCCGACGCCATCAAGCGGAAGGAGCTGGAGGCAGAGGCCAAGAAGGAGCCAAAGAAGAAGACCAAGGGGGCATTTCGGGGCAGGGGCAGGGCAGACCCCAGCAGCAAGATCAACGCATCCACCACAGCAACGGCCGCCACAGCCGACGACAATGGCGATGATAATGACGATGAAGAGGAGGAGGATGTCGAGAGCCATCGTGAGGACGACGAGAGCGACATCGCCCTCGAGACGGCGCTGATCGAGAGCATGACCACCATCACGACACAGGACGGCCACGGGGTGGGGGCGGACGAGGCCGCTGACAACGATGAGGCGGTGGCAGGCGACTCAGTGGTTGAGGGAGAGTGGATGGCCATCTCAAAGGCCAAGCGGAAGCCTCAGACGGACGCCACTGTGGAAAGCATCACATCCACACCTCACGACGGCAGGACCCCCACCAGCGCAGCGGCTGCAGGTGGCAGCACGGGCTCGGTCAAGTCTCGGAAGCCTCCCGGCTCATCCTCCTCCTCATCCCGTCCCCGTCATCATCCCGCCCCCACTTGTCTCGATGTTGAGCACGTCGATGAGGAACCAATTGGCGCAGGCGTGCTGCGCGCATCGGATGTGCTTCGAGGGCTGGAGGACAGCTGGAGTGACCGCACTCAGGTGGGCCTGGCGTGGAGCTAGCAGATGGATGCGATGCGTCTGGTGCCGACAATCCGTACCGTGTGCCTGTGTTTGTGTGCAGTGGTATCTCGAGCACTCTTTCAACCAGTCGGCCACCTTGGCCCCCTCCACCCCTGGCGGCGTCCCCCTCGCCCCGCAAACCGGCCGTCTCCTCACGAGCATCAGCCGCGTGGGGCCGACAGTCGTGGTCGACAGCCAGGACGTCCGCATGGACCTCACCCGCGCCATCAGCGAGTGCGTGGAGGCCATCAGCGACATGCTGCGGTCGGCCAATGTCGATGAGGAGGGGGTCTCAGTGCCCTCCCAGGTGCCCCACGGCAAGAGTGCTTTCACTCTCACCATCCAGTGGGACGCCGGCCAGGAGTGGACGCCCGTGACAGTCAGCCAGGGCAAGGGTTATCATGAGGGCGCCTTCATGCTGCGGCGGGAGAGGGCGGTCGACGAGGCGTCCCCCACACATGCTGCTGCAGCAGCATCACCCAGCGAGATCCCAGTACCAGCACCAGCACCTCCAACAGCACCAGCAGCACCAGCAGCATCGGCGCCCCCTGTCGTCCCGTCTGTGCCATCCTCATCCGTCGCCGCGCGCCCCCAGGCGACAACCACCGTTCCTCGGCCACGCCCACAACTCAATGGCGGCAGTGTCTGGGACACGCCGTCAGCCACGGCCCAGCTGCCATCCCCCGCAGGCACCGAAGTGCCGATTACCCCTCACGGCAGCGCTGCTGGTGACGGCTTGGTGAGGGAGAGGGAGAGGGGTGGCAACGAGTGGGTGGGGCGGCGGATGCTGTCACCTGTGTGGCTGGCCAACGCGGCGTTGGCATGTGTGCCGCACGGCGGGGCGGCCTTCAGCATCTTGACTCGGCTGGTATATTGGGGCCTGATGGAGGCGAGGACTGTCCTCCCGACACAGCTCCAGCCATTCGAGCGGAACCGGCTCTACCACGTACGTTTGTAAGGCAGGCAGGAAGGAGACCAAGGGGAGGGAGGGAGAAACGTAGATAGGTGCATCAATCACCATCCATGTCGACACCGTGCTTGTGTGTTGTGCGTGGCCTGTAGTATGAGATGTATGTCAAGCGCCGCACTCTCGCCCTCACGAAGAGCGGACAGGTCAGCGAGGCGGAGGCCAGGCGGATGGCAATGGACCCGGACCTCTTCATCATGCAACCGGTATGTGAGAACACACATGACATACGTACGACACACAGATGTGCTGCTGCACATATGCAGTGTTCGCACGTCCCTATGTGTGTGTGTATGTGTGTGTGTGCGTGTGTGTGTCACATACATCAGTCGCCGCGTCCGTACCTGCTGCGTGCGCTGTCGAACATCAAGAACTACTGCTACCTCAACGCCCTCATCCAAGCACTCATTCCCCTCTACCTCTTCCAGGACTACCTCTCACTCTGTGCGGAAGTACGCTACGCCACACACACACACACACCACATGGTCCATCCATCCATCCATCCATCGCCGCTGGTTGTGTCACCCCTGCAGACTTCCCACCGGGCTTACCTTGCCGGCGACGACAGTGTCCGTCGGCCTCAGTACCCCTTCCATGGCGCCTTCGCGTCGCTGTTCCGGGAGTTCTACCGCAGGCATCACGGCAGGGAGCCGAGGAGGGCTGACCGATCCACAGATGAGGACTTGCAGAGCGTGGCGGACAGCGTCATCCGCCAGCGCATTGAGCAGGAGCCAAGTGAGCCACCTACCCAAAACAGCACATGGGTCACTCACCGGCCTCATACGTCTGTCTCTTGTCTCACTGTGTGATGCTGTCTGTGTTTGCAGAGCTTGCCCGTCGCATCAAGAACGAGGGTGTCACCACCCCCAGCAACAGCAGCAGCAGCAGCATGTCCTTCCCCGTCATGTACGCGTCAGCATTCTTCCAGCCGCTGCTGACACTGTTCGAGGAGCGGTCGCAGCAGAACCACCACCACCACAATGACCACAACGGCCACGACACCAACGGCCGACAGGGTCAGTGAGCATCTGGGGTGGGACCCACCCCAGCCGCACACCATCCATCCATTTGTTCTCTGCGTGGATGCCGTCTGTCTGTCTTGTGTGTGGTCCACCAGGCCCGTCGACGGCGTATGGGGGTGTGCAGAGCGATCCTTCTGAGCTGCTGCTGTTCCTTCTGGACGGGCTGCACAACGAGAGCAGATACTACCGAAGCCGGGTAGGTGATCTGATCGAGCGAGAGAGCCTGTCAAGACAGACAGACGGCCCATGTGGGCTTCCATTCTCGCCTGTTGTGTCTGTCTGTCTGTCTGTCGGTGCGTCCGTCCGTCCATCAGCGGCCCTCTTCTCCCTCTGGCCCGTCGTCGTCTGCTGGCAGCCCCCCCTCCGCCCTGTGAGCATTAATTACTACTACATGGCCGGCCACAAGCATCCATGAGCATTATCTCTTTCCATGGCTGCACTCAGTGCATTGACCGTGTGGTGTGCTGCGTATGGTATGCAGGGAGGACACGCTGCAGGATGCTCGAGAGTCGCCAATCAGCAAGTAGGGATGGACGGATGAGAACGATGGACAGACACTCACAAGAGTCCACCCATGGATGGGATGAGTGCATGTCTGTCTGTCTGTCTGTGTCTGTCTGTCTGTGTCTGTCTGTCTGTCTGTCTGTATCTAGGATGTTTGCCGGTGTGCTGACACGTCTGGTCAAGACGGACAGCGGCGGTCTCGACAAGAAGCGAGAGCCCTTCTGGCTCCTCGACGCACCCATCGCGCACGACGACGTGTTCAGCATCGAGTAAGCCAAGCCAAGCCCACACGAACATGAATGCATTGAATGCCCCACGTCACTCACGTCAATGGCACCGCACCCGCCATTGGCGCCCTCATTGCAATCAATGCGGTGGCTGTCCTGGCTGTGCTGTATCCGTCAATCTGTCTACGCAGAGATGCGATATCAAACACGTTGGGCATCTTCCACGCCTCGTCCAGCCCCCAGCTGTCGGCCTCAGCCCTCGGTCCCGAGCATGTGCCCCCCACCTCCTCACAGCGGCAGTATATCGACGTCACGCCGCCCATCCTGGTCGTCAGCGTCAAGAAGACTCTCTACGGCCAGGGCGCGCTCGAGAAGGTCAGCCTCTCAGCCAGTCAGCCAAGCTACCCCACACACAACACACACACACACATCTCAGTGAGTGCGGTCTGTGCCCCCCTGCAGGCGGCCAAGCAGCTGGTGTACACGTCTCATCTCAACTGGAACAACAGCTGGACGCTGCCCGAGCAGGACGCCCCGCAGCCGAGCTACCGGCTGGTGTCTGTGGTGGTGCACCACGGCGAGGAGGCGGTGGAGGGCCACTTCAGCACCCTGGCCACTCGGCAGTACGACGGGGAGTGGTACAGCTGCGACGACCGTGCGATCAGCAGGCGGACGGTGCAGGAGGTGGAGTCGCACCAAGGGGCCCTGCTGTTCGTATATGTCGATACAAACGTCAGACTCGTGGACATCACACCAGGCGCATGAGGGAAGCCCGGCTGTGTGTGCGGTGGATGGGGTGGGGTGGGGAGGGGAGGGGAGTGTTGGCAGTTATCTAAATGTATCCATCCATCCATCCATCTCTATATAGGTAGTCGACCATCGCGCCATCATCCGCCACGCCCTCACCCGGAGCAAGCAGCAGCAGGACGTCGCCCACAAGACCAAGAGGGAGGCCGCCCTGCCGCACATCGACCGCCG